TTTTGTACAAAGTTACTCAACCATCATTCCATCTATCCTTTTGGACAAAAATTTACACTTGGCGGATGGAAATCCTACGTGACCATTAACGGTGTTAAAAATTGATGACAAATGACATCCTACCAAACACGTTCTCTTAAAAATTGGAAGAATCGTTCTCCACCACCATCATCCCCACCATCACCTCCACCTCCACCGCCTTATCACTGTATCCTGTAAGAGAAATCAAAATTAATGCAGAAAATGCGAATTTACATTCAAAAACTTGAAAACTCCAAATTTTTCCGTTCTGTCTTGCACCAAATGCAAAATATTGGCTTCCTTCACATAAATTATCTGCCTCCACATTTCTGATTACTATAAAGAAATAATAATTTTCTCTAAAAGAAGCTCAAAATTGAAATCTTAATTTTCTCTAAAAGATGCTCAAAATTCCAATTTTAAGCTCAATGACTACACAATCTTGAGATAAAAACAGAGCCCAAATGACAAAATTGCAATCTTGCAGTAAATGGACCGGAGAAAACCCAGGAAAATGAAGGGTAATTTCTAGAGAAAGAACAGAAAAAAGGGCCTGAAATTCTTAGTCTTTAAGATCTGGGATTGTAACTAATCCCCACAAAATCCTATCTGCCTGTATGCAAATGAGTTTTACCTTCTTCACACCATATTCATTGTGAAAACCAAGTGGCAGAGAAAGATGAGTAGTTTGCAGGAAGTTTTATGAAAAGAGATTAGAGACCATAGTCAGGGTGCAGGCGCTTGAGGAAAACAATAATGGCTGCTGCTGCTTCTTCGTATCCTTGTTATCCTCTTCCAACACTACTTTGGAGTGTATAAAATAAAGGATTTTTCCCCATGTGTCAATTTTCAACGGCCAGGTAAGATTTTCTATGCCACGTGTAATTTTTTTGTCCCAATGAGTGGATGGAATTAACATAGGTGATGGATGGATAACGTTCTACAAAAGTGAGTGAGTAGTTAGTTACATTTTATTTTTGAGTGAGCAAGTAGCAACCTGATCTAAATGTTGGTGAGCAATGGTTTAATTAACTCGTTAAAATACATATTGTCAATAATTTACGTGGTGTTAGGGGCTGTTTGGAAGAGTGAGTTGTTGAAGTGGAGTGTTTTAACGATTAAATAATGTCACATCATATTTTTATTTGCCACGTGGACAATTCCATCCAAGGCTTCAAAGGCATTCCATCTCATTTATGGATGAGTTAAGTTTATGATACTTGAGTGTGTATTGAATTATATTTTAAAGTTGGATTTATAAGTAGTTACACAAATTAATTAAAGTTTAGTGACTAATCATTTATTTTACTCCCTCTTCAGTGCCCTCATAAACCCTTCGACATTAGGGTTTTACCCTTCCATCTTCACTTTCTGTCTTTCTCAAGTAAAGCGGACAAAATGGGTAGCCTCCTTTTACTCAGGAGATTTTCATCACTCTCCAGAACTGGTAGGCTCGTCATCACTGCCCTCGGACATCGATTGCCGGAGAAATTTGTTCCTGGAAATGTGCTTATTTCGCCACAAATTTTCCACTATACCGCTGCAACTTCAACAAGAAAAGCAGCGGCGACGCTACCTTCATTAACACGGTCTTTTCACGTGGGCCGGGTTTTGCAGGCCGCGTATGCCGTTGCTGATTTATCTGATGCTGAAGATGGTATGGCATCCATTGAGGTAGCTGATGACGGCCTCGAAATCTCCAAGCTTGGAATTTCGCCGGAAATCGTGTCGGCCTTGGCTGGGAGGGGTATCAATAAACTCTTTCCTATTCAGGTATATCGAACATCTTTTTGGATTGGGTATATGTTTGGGAGTTAAAGAACAATACCACCAAATTTAGTTATAAAAATAAATACTTTATTTTGAAATAAAAAAAAATGGAAATGACATATGAGGCATAACTTCTGTTTCTGCTTACAGAACTCTTAATGTTGAGATGGAAAATGTAAGATTAATTGGATCTAAGAAATTTCTTTACACATTGCTTTCATTCTTTTATTCACGTCATCCTAAGAATTTGGTACTGTTTTAGGTTTTCTTTTCGTTCTTTTGGCATATTTGATCTTTAATGTGGGCGTTTTTTTGGACTGTAGGGAGCTGTTTTGGAACCAGCTATGAAGGGGCGTGACATGATAGGTCGAGCAAGAACAGGAACTGGGAAGACATTAGCATTTGGCATTCCAATCATGGATAAGATTATTCGATTCAATGAGAAGCATGGGTCTGTTATCTTTGCTCTTTTTTATTTTCAATCTATTTTCTGCTTTGAATGTGTTCAAAAATTAGGAATTTTTAAAGGTTAAATCTGCCTGTTTTCCATCACTCAGACGAGGAAGGAATCCTTTGGCATTAATATTGGCTCCAACCAGAGAACTTGCTCGCCAAGTGGACAAAGAATTCTGTGATTCTGCTCCAAATTTAGACACTGTATGTGTCTATGGGGGCATGCCAATTTCAAGCCAAATTGATACCCTTAAACATGGTGTTGATGTGATTGTTGGCACTCCTGGACGGGTTATAGATTTGATTAAGAGGGGTTCTTTGAATTTATCAGAAGTAAATTTTTCCGTTCTAGATGAAGCTGATCAAATGCTTAATGTGGGATTTGCTGACGACGTTGAGACTATCTTGGGATACATGACTCAGAAGCATCAGACCATGATGTTTTCAGCTACCATGCCTAAATGGATATTAAAGCTTACGCAAAAATTCCTAAAGAATCCGGTTACTGTTGATCTTGTGAGTGTAGACCTCTGTTTATGTTATTAGTCCTTAATCAAAAATTGTTTATTGCTTGGAATTCTTTGTGTTCAATAATGTTTTTGCTGCATGTAATTATCGAAGTCAAATATGTACTGCAGGTGGGAGATTCTGATCAGAAATTAGCTGAAGGGATTTCCTTGTATGCAATTGCAGCAGATATGCGTGAGAAACCAGCAATTATTGGATCTCTAATAACTGTATGAATTTAAAGTTCATTTCATTCATCTTCTTCAATTGTACCTTCAATCTGGTTACTGCATCGTTTCTATGATTTTTTTTTGTTTATTGCCATTATCAGTTTCCTCTCCTGACAACCATGTTGTATCTTTCTTATCAGGAGCATGGAAAAGGAGGTAAATGTATTGTTTTTACCCAAACAAAGCGTGATGCTGATGTTTTAGCGTATGCCATGCAAAGAAACTTCAAATGTGAAGCCTTGCATGGAGATATCTCACAAAACCAAAGGGAAAGAACTCTGTCTGGTTTCCGAGATGGGCGTTTCAATATTTTAGTGGCTACCGATGTAGCTGCTCGTGGCCTTGACGTACCAAATGTCGATCTGGTGTGTGTATGATATTTCTTTCATCATTTTCATTCTTATACATGATTTGCCTGTAAAGCATGAGTTACCGTGGAGGTTAATGAAGAAAAAATAACAGATAAATTGCCAGCTGTTTTCTTTTTATTAGTGTCCTATTGAAACCGTTGTTGCTTCACTTGGCTTTAAATTAGCGCATTAGCTTCTTGTTGTATTATGGTTTTACATTTAATTGCATTATTACATTTAAACAGACCTTTGACGCTTCCTAAAGTTTGAGTCGTATGATCCTTTTATTCGCAAGGTAGTTCATGAATTTCATGATGCTATTCTTTTCCCCTTGCGACATGGTGATATGGATTTGGACTTTGTAGTCAACATAGATAAATGCATAGTTGATAATGATGCTTCAGACTTGAGATTCTTAAGCATATAATGTGTAGTAGTGATTTTTTCTTGCCTAGGGGTTTAATTGATGGCAAGTAAGGTTTATTTTTGTAGTATATTCTCTTCTCCAGTGTTTTTTCCTGTATATGGGTTCAGATTGAATGTTATTCCGTTCAGGTGGTACATTACGAACTTCCAAACTCTTCAGAGCTTTTTGTGCATCGATCTGGACGAACTGGCCGTGCTGGGAAAAAAGGTAGTGCAATTCTCATCTATTCATCCCATCAGTACAGGGACGTCAAGGCTATAGAACGTGAAGTTGGAACCCGGTTTGTTGAGGTAAATGGTTCCGTGCTTATTCTGTTTGAATGTTGCTCTGATTTCCTTATTTAGCTCTTTTTTTTTTCTTTTTTTGGTTAAATTAAACTTGCGATATGCTTTGAAGCTAGGTAACAACAACGAATAACAATCTTAGGCTTATTGCCAGTAAATTTGGGGCTGGCCTTTTGAAATCTCAAAAATTGTCTAGTAGTCATACTGTTTTAAGAATGAATTCTAACTGAAAAGAGCGAGACTTTAAAATTGAGCACCCAAAGAAAAGGAATATGCCAAGCAGATATATTCGACATTGTTTGCATTTTGTGGTTTGGATCATATTAAACTGACTAGTATATAATTATCCTGGTGTGTTAGCTCCCGAGGATTGCTGTTGAAGAGGGAGCTATGGACATGTACCGTGACATGGAACGTGGTAGGAGTGGTTTTGGTTCTAATAAAAACACAGGAGGTGGTCGGTTTGGTGATTTAGGATTTGGCCGTTCTGGTGGCTCTGGTAATTTTAGGGGTGGTCATTTTGGTGGACCTGGTTCTGGTCGATCAGGTGGTGGATTTGGTGGACCAAGTTCAAGTCGCACAGGCAATTTTGGTGGTTTTGGGTCTGGCCGTTCAGGAGGGTTTGGAGACCGGGGTGGTTCAGATCGGAACAGTGGCTTTGGAAACCTTGGTGGTCCAAGTCGCTCAAGTGGTTTCGGGGATTTTGGTTCAGGTCGTTCCAGTGGATTTGGTGATTTAAATTCTAAAAACAATACCAGGTCAAGTCGCTTTGGTGATGACAATGATGATGGTGACCGTAATACAGGGAGGAGATTCTTCTGAAACCATTTGAGGTAAGTTCCTCTGTCTTTTGAAATATTGTTAAGGAAGAAATGCAATTAGCTGGGTTTGGCTCTTTGTACCCTGTACATGTTTCTTTCAAATTGCTACTTGTCTATGATAATCTTGTCCTTTAATTCTCTTTACCAATTTTGTCTCCTCTAATTTTCATATATAATGCTCTATAAGCAGCCAAATTATGAAAAGTATGGCCATCATAGCAACATTTACATTCTAGGAAACCACATGGAAAAAAATAAACGATTTTGAACCATTTTGTTATTTGTGGTATGGTATTTGTATCAAGTAGATACATTCTGTAGCCTCATTTTGATTTGAAAATTATTATCATATGATTAAACCGACACTGAAGCACTAACCTATACTCAAGTCCTTTTCCTCTTCCGATTTTGTAAAGGTTTAGCCACTTCTGTATGTATATGATCATAAATAAATTCCATTCTTAAACTTAATTAGGTATTTTGTTCAAGTAATGTGCCTATTGATGAATGCTTACATTCTTTTTCACTTCATCCAGGATAATTTGAAAAATCACAGTAGCAGATGTGAAGATTAGGAAAGGCGGTTATCAAGGGCGAACATTGACGCATTTGGTAAACAGCTTCTGGTTACGAAGAGTTAGCTAGGACGGACAATGCTATAATATATATATTTTTGTTTGAAGAAAAGATGGGAAGTAAACCCAGTCGATTTGATCGTTACTGTGCTAATGAAGTTCCTGTGTGTAATCTAATGTTATCTGCTATTTGTTCATATTTGTTGGTTCTAAGCATAGAGTGAATTCGAGAAACAGACTAAATTCCTTCAGAATATTAGCGTGGGAGATGATGATTGGTGTTCTTTTTCTTCCACACACTAATGTACTGCAACTAATATGAGCTTAGGGGTTTACTTAAATAAGTCGATTTACTGATCTTTATATTGGCATTAAAATTCGAGATATTGAAATATATAATGGTTTATTGTTCATGTTATTCCTCGTAATTCCTAATATATGTTTGATACACGATAATGGATAAAGGGTAAGATATCGACTTCTTTTCTTTTTAATAATGTCTAATTAGACTTTTCATGTGACAAATTCTTGACTTGCTAGAATTAATTTGAACTTGATCCAATGGATCATATTGAATCCAAAAGAAAGAAAATATTTCATGGGACCCAAGCTCATGACTTGGAGATTACACTTTCAAATCGGGACAGTTTGGCACCAATTAAAGCCTCAAAAACCTTATCCTTCATCAAGAATCCAATCTTCTCAATATCCACTTTGTACATGCCATCCATTTTCGCCCACAAAGGAACACATCAGCCAACACAAGCTATCCCACTTCATATCACACACGTACACAGTAATCACAATCACAAGCCAAAAGAAGAACAGAGAATGGCTACAACTGCATGCTTCTTGAATCCCAATGTACTCTCTACTCGCACCATATCTTCGTCTCAACGTTTCGCACCGTCCCTCAAGCCTAGCCAGTTAGTTTGCCGTGCCCAGAAACTGGATGATGACCCCAGTGATTTGCCTATTTCTCGCAGATTGGCTCTCACTGTTTTAATTGGTGCTGCTGCTATTGGCTCCAAGGTTTCCCCTGCCGATGCAGCCTACGGCCAAGCCGGTAATAGTTCAAATCCATACATGTATATGCGCGTGACTTGAGATTTAGCATGTTAATTGAACAGTTTGAATTATTAACTTGCAGCTAACATTTTTGGGAAGCCAAAGGAAAACACAGATTTCTTGCCTTACGCTGGAGACGGATTCAAGCTGTCAATTCCCGCAAAGTGGAATCCAAGCAAAGAAAGAGAGTATCCTGGTCAGGTTCTGAGGTACGAGGACAATTTCGATTCCAACAGCAATGTCTCCGTTATGGTCACCCCTACTGACAAGAAATCTATCGCTGACTTTGGTTCCCCTGAAAACTTCCTCTCCCAGGTAATCATTCTGAACCATCTCGTCTAAAAATCTAAACTGTATATTATCTTCAACACGCATCCTTTATATGGGTTATATTCATATTTATAGGTCTGATACATATGGGACGGAATTGGAACTCAAAACTTTGTTTCTACTCTATATGATATCATACTGAATGAACTCGTCTCAATAGCATATCCCATGAATACACTTGTGAGCTGACGAACATTTTGATGTGAATATTTTCAGGTGGACTATCTTCTAGGAAAACAAGCCTACTTCGGGAAAACTGAGTCAGAGGTAAGTGACTAATGGGTCAAAAACATACCTTATTGCAAATATATATGTTTAAATAGTTTGCTCTGTATATGTTTTTAGAACTTCATGTTTATGCTGGAGGTCAGACTATACGTTCCCTTTCATGTTCTTGAATCATCGAAATCAAATGCATTTTTGAACACCTCATTTCTTATAAATCATCTTATGGAACTGGATTGAAATTATAATTTTAGGGGGGATTTGATGCCAATGCTGTGGCAACTGCAAACATACTGGAGAGAGACACCCCAGTTATTGGTGGAAAACAGTACTATTTCTTGTCGGTGCTGACAAGGACAGCTGACGGAGATGAGGGCGGCAAACATCAACTGATCACAGCCTCAGTGTCTGATGGGAAGCTTTACATTTGCAAGGCTCAAGCTGGAGACAAGAGATGGTTCAAAGGTGCAAGAAAATTTGTGGAGAGCACAGCAAGTTCATTCAGTCTTGCTTGATATGGGATGTGGAGTATTTGCATGTAATTTTACTTATAAATATGATCTTTGATTAAGTGAGTTGCTTGAACTTTTACTCACAAATGTCATTGGAGTTGTGGAGAAAGCTAATGTGGATAATTCAGCACTCTCTTTTGGCATATACAAGTCAGTCCTCATGTTGTTTAGTTAGTTGAGCCATTGGCTGAGATCTCTCAAACTTCTACAACAATCCAATCCTACATTATGAAGAGCAAGAAACTGTGTAATTCTTTCACTTATTATTACAACAAGGCAAAGACAATAAGAAAGATGACTATGAGACAAACAAAAAGAGGACGATTATCACTCTGGTAATTCGTTAATTACTTGATGCTCATTTTGCTTATAAGAAAACCCTTTTTTAAATCAAACCACATACATAGCCTTAATGGAAAAGATGATACGACAATTTACTTGACAACCTAGTTGCCACACAAAGTGTATAATACTGTGACATCACCCTTTCTATTATGGATGGAGTGCCTAACTCGAAATAAAGGTAACCATAGTGAAACAAAATGAAGTTCAATCAACCAGCACAGAATTTTAGTTATCATCAGTGTATTTTAAGGATTAATCAATTTGTTGAATCGTGGATGACAATGTATGAGTTGTAAAAAAGCCGTTGGTAGCAAAAACAATCTGTTTTTCAAACTGTCCAATGACAATTTGCCTCATGACATTTTGTCAACAAAATTGTTATCCATGGTTGTAAACCAAGTATGATTCGTATTTTAAAACATGGACTAGATGAAAACAGGTGCTCTTATTGTACGTGTGCACCCGTGTGACAGAAGCATCAACAATTCAGCATTTATCATTCCCATTTTCCACCGTTATCATCAGTCTTTTTGGTCATTGATCAGCTTCATATAGAATAAAATATGCCAGCAGATTGAGACGAAGTACACAATTTATTGTCACAGTTAAAGCATGTTCACATTCTCGTTTGTAATATGTCAACTGAAATATCGAAGTAAGAAAATTTACATGATGCAATTTGTTAATAAATACAATGATCGACTGTGCTTTCTCGTCTCAAGTTCGACCATTGCAAAGGTGGATGCCATTACTGTGCCTATCGTCATGATTCAAACTTACCCGATTTAAGCCCCATATGCGAATTGTACGATCATCACTTGCAGAAGCCAGCATATGAGGATTAGTGGGATTCCAACTAACACAGTTGACAGCCCCAGAATGTCCAGACAATGTCAAAACGAGCTCTCCTGAGAGTCGGTGCCATATATAAACCTACAGATGGTGAAACCATTAGTAACTCTCCAAGAGCAGATATATGCTGTTTTGCATTTATTTTTTATCAAATGGAACCAGTAAGGATCCTGTAAGAATCCATCAATTCTATATGAAAATTTAGACACCTTGAACCAGGAACACTGATAATAGGGACATGAGTCAAGTGAAATCAAGGAAAATGGGGCCCTAATTAACATTAATGATTTTTTCAGCTCAGAAAATTATGACCTGGATGGAAGGCTTCTTCAAATCTTGTCATAGCTTAGTTTTGCTTAAATGATCATGATTGTGACCAGCTGAATCATATACAGGATTATTTCAAGAACTGGGACAGGATATGCCATTTCAATGTGCGGCTACATGAAAATAATGACTTCGCAGTATACAGATTCCAACAGTGGAATATGGAACCTTTATCTAGTAACCTGTTGTAACGAAAGATCGGAATATAGAAAAATAATATGACCGACCTGTAGACATTTCATCTTGTCACTTCAACAACTCATAATAATTTTATACATGAAACTCTGTCTAAACTGTATTCATGCCATGCCATAAAACAATAACAGGCACTACAAATGTAAACAGACACGGACCTTTTTAAATTCATATTGGAAGGGATTCATAGAATTCAGTTTGGTCAATGATCGTGCATATCCAATAGGAAGAAGATTAATGGGAGGTGTATATCAGACCTTTTTCTTTCTGCTAGTACTTGTTCAGTTCATGTATTTATACATGTTTTGGACAAGAAATATTTAGGATAGGAAGAAGTGTAAAGAAAAACTTAAAAATAAAAACTCATCCCAAATGTTTCTTCACCAATTTTCCCCCCTTTTTAAAGAGGAAGACATGCTGCTATACTGCACATATAATACAAGAAAGATAAGAGTAGAAAATAAGCCCAAGTTTTAAGGCCATGCATATCATTGCAATTTACACACTTCAACTATTCATATCATTTCATTCTCCTCAGAGCATCACTTGCATCAGAAAACTTAATTTCTCCTCTTATTAGAATTATATCATAATCCATCAAAACTTGTAAAGTAACAATTCAGAAAAACACTAGGCCCATAATATGGTTGAGTATTAGAAAAAGGAAAAAACCCAAAAAAATTGCTTACGAATGAGGCTGAAATGCACCAGTTTGAATAATGATGCTCTGAAATTACAATAACCGTGTTGCTAAACATATTGTACTTTCACATCGCATCTTCATTCTCCAATTACTCTCCCCCAACTAAAGTCTGACCCCCTAGTGTCCTCTCTGAGACACACTCACTTAAAACCTCATCAATTTCATCCTCAATGCATTTACCCATTTGTGCATGTGGCTTCAAATATCACTATGTATTAAGCCCCCGTTTGGCCCAGGGGCAAATTCAGGACGTTGAGCCAGCACGAGCGGCCGTAATAAAATATTAAGGGCTCATTTGATGTCATTTTTTGCAAAAAAATGCATTTTGAAATAATGATATGATAGAGAATGTGTAGTTAAAAATAATAATAAAAAATTGAATTTGCGTGTAATATTATTTTATTAATGAATGTTTGACTGAAAATAAGGGAAAGAAAAATGTATTCTGAACTAAATGAGAATCAAACAAGGTTTAAAATTTAAATAAAATAATTATTTTGTAAACATATATAATTTTGTTATAAGAATAAATCGTCTCACCAAATAACATTATTGTTTTGTATAATTTTGTTATTGCTTTGTAAAAATTGTATAACTAAAAATTTAAACAAGAAATTGATGGACAAAAAGTTTCGAACTCGGGACATCCAAGAAACACATGCAAGCGCTAACCAAGTTGGCCAAATGGAATGGTTGAAAGAAAAATGACTTACCAGTAATATATCCTATATATTTGTCTATCCTCAGCTAAAAAAAAAAAATGGCTCCCAGCGAATCCAGCACGCACAGCTGCGAGGGCTCGCCGAGTACTGGATCCGCCAGTGGTTTGGCCCCCATTTTGTGGTAATGAGAATGGGTAAAATAATGTTTTTTTGAAAAATGAATGGCGGAAAAAGAAGGAAAAATTTTCGACTTACGTGTAATATTATTTGATGGAAGATTGTGTGATTGAAAATAAGACAAGGAAAAATGAAATGTAATGGAATGAAAATTAATGGAGACCAAACGGGGGCTAAATAAATTTAACAATGCCCCCACCAATGGAACGTGTGGAAAAATATTATGAGCGGATGATAGATAGACTCCCAATTTCCTCTACAAGAGTGGGTAATAGGAAGAATACCAACTCCTAATGACTATTGAAACCATAATTAATCACATTCCAAGTCCGTAATTTGGCCATGCACATGAAATAAAATACCACCATTTCCTCTATATTACCTCCCATATAATCACTAGGCAATCCCTGGATGAAGAGGCCAAGTATCTGCCATTGTGAGAAAACTGCAAGCACCAAACTTCGTCACCGTGCTCTTGTAATATCTGGAGTTATTACAAATGATAAAAGGAATCAGTGGTGACATAGATAAAAGAAAATAAATTCCCAAATATTTTGCACAATATATATATATATATTTGAAATGCTGTCTATTATAAAAGGAATCAGTGGTGACATAGATAAAAGAAAATAAATTCCCAAATATTTTGCACAATATATATATATATATTTGAAATGCTGTCTATTATAAAAGGAATCAGTGGTGACATAGATAAAAGAAAATAAATTCCCAAATATTTTGCACAAATATATATATATTTGAAATGCTGTCTATTATCTACTGTAAATCATAAAAAATATATGAATGAGTAGAAAGTACGCATCAATTTCCATTACATGTTCTGAAATGAGTTCGAAAACATAGGCATAATCTTTCTGCCATTTTCTGCGAATAACTTTTAGCAATTTTAGAACCTGGATGCAAGTGTTCCCATTTTTGGATTGTGACATGCTTCGGTATGACAAATTCAGATGACCCCTTCGAAATAAATATTTTACTCAACAGTAACAAGGTAGAATCACGTGTAACAACAAAGTCTTGTCTTCGGAAACACAATTTGAATTTGCAATACAATTTCCAAGAAGATGTCAATATTTGAAAATAAAAAGATCAAAGAATGAAAAGGTAACATTTTTAGTTGCTATTCATGTGTGTAAAGCACCATAGTTGAAATCCCAACTCCAAATACTATGGTGCTCTAAATCAAATAAATCTCATCTTCACTTTTGATACAAGAATGATGAATGTGACCAAACCTGTAAAGTTTGAGATGGAATATTATCCTTTCCACACTGATGATCAGTGAACAATGACATCTCCCCAACTGAAGAGTTGTGAAACCTGCATGCATCCCGTTGCAAATCAAGACCCTGTTCAACAAGATGCACCAACCTTCTTTCAGGAATTATCATTGTAGAAGGAAGAAGCATTTGCAATTCTTCAAGCAACTTTTCTCGTGACTTGAGCCTCACTTCTTGATCAGAATTAATATCAAGATCATTTAGTGATGGAGATAAAATGTAGGAAGAGAGCTCACGAACTCTATCGTTGTTTATACAAAGAGGTGCAATCTCAGTCCTCAGTGTCTTCAAAGCATCCATGACATTTTCTCCACCCAGAAGTGAAAAAAATTTCTGCTCTAATATTACAAAAGATGCCAATTTAATAATAGTTTCATCCATTAGACCAATCTTATGTAATGTGGCCACGCTGTCATCCCATTTACCATCAAGAATTTGCTGCATAAACAAATTTACAACAGAGGACTGCAACGGTATCCCTGACTCTTCTTCTAGATGTGCCCCTGTATTCTTATAACCAAGCGAATACAATGCCTCAGCTATAATTCTAACAAGTTCAACTTTCTTAACCATCCCTTTTGAACCAACAACCTCGTCTTTCCCTTGAGAGGCTAGCGGTTGAGCCATCGAATCACTCAATGAGCAATTAGCTTGCGCTCTATGGGATGTACCGTTTGAAAGACCTCCTAATGCCCCAGAGGACACTTTCCCGCGTTTTGAGGGTGGTTCATCATCCTCTACGCCTCCCATTAAATGTACAACTCAGCCCATATATAACACGGTCAGAAAGCACAGCAGTAAAATGCTTATTGTAAGACCTTGGGAGAATAACAAACAATATTCTGCAGAGAAGAATGAAGAGAAAGTATATGAATTTGACAAAAAAAAAAAATGTTCACAACACTTGTGCTAGTACTAAGAGGGGATTTCAAAGATTTACATATTATAACATATACATTAAAAAAAAGTTAATGGCTAGATTTTGGGAGGAAACAAATTAGCAAATATCTATTCATGCTCGAAACATAAATTATTAAAAGATGAGATCTCCAATATTTTGGTTACATAAAAAATAAAAAATAAAAAAAAATCAATGGATCAAGCCTAACAAGTTAACATCTAAAATACAATAAAGAAGATTCAAACATTTTCCATAGAATTCAGAACAAAGCTGCAGATTGACATCGTGAAACTCCAGTGCAGGCGAGGCTGGAATTGTGTTTTATTCCAGTTTAAAAATATTATTTTTAACTAATTTTAGATAAAATTTGTACTTATCTTTTCATATATTGACTAACCACCTTTCTGAACCTCTTAAACTGGGAGAAATGTTGAGACAACATAGCCATTAAAAAAATTAAATTTAAAGCTCCCTTTCTCAACATGCTTCATTATTGAATTTAACTACAGAATCTTTTTAATTTGAGAATGTTACCTTTGAGCAAGAAATTTATTATATCCAGTCATGTAAAGTGTATATAAACAAATCAGCCAAATTTGGATACTCTGCAATTGACAATTGCCTTTATATTTTGGTTTTCACGAATAAACTTGTTTCATTATTTTTCTTCTTCCATTTGCGAAGGCACTAACCTCATTGCATTGCAGTACTTAACCATCAATTGTCTCAAATCCCAGTAATATCTAAAACATAAAAATGTAAAAAAAAAAAAAAAAAAAAAAAAAAACCAAAAAAAAAAAAAAAAAAAAAAAAAAAAAAAAAAAAAAAAAAAAAAAAAAAATCCTCAATAGCTCATCGGTACCTCTAAACACTTTAGATTCTATGCAACTCAAAAATCAAGACTTGAGAAGCGCTTGGTGAACTTCTGCACAACTACTAGTGAGGTCACCCAAAAAAACAAGGATAAAAACCCGAAAAAGCAAATAAATGAACAAAAATTATAGTTACTGAGCCAGCAGTCATATTTATGGATTAAGCGGTGTTTTGTATATGGGCATATATTTTCTGATAATCCCGCATCAGATTTCATATCAGAGACGAACAGATTATAGATGCATTACTCAAACTTCCCATCCAGTCAAATTTAGCAAAAAAATCATGAAATATAACAAAGAAACGATGAAAGAAGGATATGCTAAACATTGTCATAGAAGAATAACGATGACCCTCGGGAATTTAACCCATCTCAAAGACCATAACAAATAACGAAATAAAGCAGAGAAATAGAAAAAATACCAAGAAAATCAAGAGATTTTACACAGTATCTGCAAAACCCAGAAAGCGATTTCCGATAATAAGAGAGGCAGAGGCGGTAAAACGCAAATTGGTTAAAAGGTGCAAGGGATAGACCCAAAAGCAAGTCTCTTTAGATTTTTCGGCACGTTAATGACGTTAATAGCTAGATTCGGCGAGCAAGCAAGCAAAAACACCAAAAATCAACGAAAATAATAATAATTAAAAATTATAAAGACGAACAATCACGTAGTGATCCATTGTTGATTATACTGGTTTTTGGTTTCTGTGTTTTTGGGCAGATATGAATAGTAACTAGTTTCCATTTTAGAAACTTTGTTTTTGGGGAATAAGGTAATGTTAAGTCTTTGAGATGAAGAAACCATTTTAAGGAGTGTGATAGTCAGGTAACGTGCGGTGACCGTGGATGGGAAATGGCCCAAATGGGGATTAAATTCATTTTTGAATATAAAATTTTCTATTTTTATTCGATATATAGTCTCAATCACGATGAAAAGCACGTTTGGCTTTTAGATCAATTGGTATCAGTTCATTGTATCTCAAACTTGGTATAAAAAGATTAAAAAAATAAAATAGTAGGAACACTAAAAGAAAATGATAGAGAAAAATTTTCAAATTAGCTCTAATGTAACTGAGGTCAATTTGATTTTTCAACTATTTTCCCTTCATTTTCTTATTTCACAGAGATCGAATTGTTACTACTTAATAACTGAACCTAAATAATGTATTTCAATGGTCACTGAATTTTGCCAAGTGTTATCATTTCGTAACCGAACTCGAAAATGTATTTTAATGGTCGCTGAACTATGTACCATATTATCAATCCATCACTCAAACCAATGCCGTTTGTTGAACTTAATGAATTTTTATATTTAAGTTAGGAATGGATAATACGGTGCATAGCTCAGTGGCCATTGAGCTACATTTTTTAGTTCAGTTATTAAGTAGTAATATGAAAAAGTTTAGCAACCATTACTGTAATTAACCCATAGGAATAGTTCCTTCTAGTATAGAATTTTATGGTGAAACCTTCGGAAATTAGGCTTTGGACATTTGGGCCCAGAAGTGAAGTAGCTTTTTGACTTGAGGACTAGTACCAACCCAAGTATTCAACACACTGATCCCATTTGCCATTTATTTATTTTTATTTTTATTAATATTCGAGTCTAGTTAGATCTGTCTCTAATTTTCTGAAAACAGATTTAAAATTTCAAGAGTTGATAATTAATGTCATGATGCATCGATACTTCATATTACATATAACATCATAAATTTGTCCTTGAAAATATTTTGTTTATGTTGTTATTATCTATTTTGTACCTGAAATCTTTGAACTCGTGTCTTCGTTTTAGCATAGTTTTTAAATATGTATTTTCATTCGTTGTACCATAAGAAATGAGATCGCTTGTCCCCATTTGTTTGTCTCCTTGGCTATGCTTCACTTATTTTTGGACATTTTAGCACATTATTCACAAATGGGAAGACTCAATTTCAAATATGAAGTCATTCTGTATTGTGTCGGTAGCTTTCCATTTGATATGAGAATTGATGTGTTGAAGTGTCAAAAAAATTGATTGAATGAATAACTAAATAACATAATAGATATTATTGCAGAAGCTCGCTCTAAAATTTTCATATTGGTGATTTCTAGGATCAATTTCACGTTACTTTTCTCTATCAAACAACTAATTCAAACGGCCCTAACCCACAACCTATATATTTACATCGATTACTTCTCAATTTCACTCATAAATGACACGATAATGGTGTTGATTTGCAAGTCACAACTACACGAGAATAAACAATGAATAAGGCACAAAGAGGAGACAATCGAAGGAGGAAGTCACCAGTTTTTTCACCCTCCAAAGTAACATTTTTTCTTCTACTATGACAGCTGGTTTTTCTCTCTCAATTAGGCAAGCCAAATATCCTTCACAACAAGCATAAAGCACAATCACGTTTTTCTCTCAAAGGCACACATTAATGCAAAGGAAGGAGGCTATATATAGTCTAATATTAGGTTATCAATTTGGGCCAAATAGCTGTTCAATAGGTATATAAGGCCGTGAGTAACATTCTTGTTTGAGTTCCATTCATTCAAAAATTCATTTTTGAATATACATTTTTTAATAAAATAATATTACAAAAAAATTCAAAATTTTTCTTAATTTTGAATCAAACATTCTCCATTAATCACTATTTAAAAATACATTCTTTTACTTAAAATAGGGCTCAAACAAGGACTAATTATACGAATGATTACTATACTTTGTCATAGCTTAATATTTAATAATTGAACTTGAAAATGTATGTCAATGTTCCCTAAATTTTATGTTATTACTTTATAACTGAATTTAAAAATATATCTCAATGAACTATGCACCACGTTACTTGAGTGATGAATGAATAACACGGCATGTAATTTGATGACAATTGAAATACATTTTTGAGTTCAATTATGAAGTAATAAAATATAGCAAAGTTTAGTGACTATTGAGATATATTTTTAAGTTCAGTTATTAAATAGTAACAATTTCCTTTTTTTCTTAAATCGATATCTGTGAAAAAATAAACTAAAGAAAATAAAGGGAAAAAAAGTTCTATTTTTATTCGATATATATTCTCAATCACGATGAAAAGCACGTTTAATTTTTAGATCAATTGGTATCAGTTCATTGTATCTCGAACTTGGTATAAAAAGATAAAAAAAATAAAATAGTACGAACACTAAAAGAAAATGATAGAGAAAAATCTTCGAATTAGCTCTAATGTAACTGAGATCAATTTGATTTTTCAACTATTTTCCCTTCATTTTCTTATTTCACAGAGATCGAATTGTTACTACTTAATAACTATACCTAAAAAATGTATTTTAATGGTCATCGAATTTTGCCAAGTGTTATCATTTCGTAACCGAACTCAAAAATGTATTTTAATGGTCGCTGAATTATGTACCATATTATCAATCCATCACTCAAACCAATGCCGTTTGTTGAACTTAATGAATTTTTATATTTAAGTTATGAATGGATAATACGGTGCATAGCTCAGTGGCCATTGAGCTACATTTTTTAGTTCAGTTATTAAGTAGTAATATGAAAAAGTTTAGCAACCATTACTGTAATTAACCCATAGGAATAGTTCCTTCTAGTATAGAATTTTATGATGAAACCTTCGGAAATTAGGCTTTGGACATTTGGGCCCAGAAATGAAGTAGCTTTTTGACTTGAGGACTAGTACCAACCCAAGTATTCAACACGCTGAACCCACTTGCCATTTTTTTTTTTTTATTCGAGTTCAGTTAGGTCTGTCTCTAATTTTCTAAAAACAGATTTAAAAGTTCAAGAGTTGATAATTAATGTCATGATGCATCGATACTTCATATTACATATAACATCATAAATTTGTCCTTGAAAATATTTTGTTTATGTTGTTATTATCTATTTTGTACCTGAAATCTTTGAACTCGTGTCTTCGTTTTAGCATAGTTTTTAAATATGTATTTTCATTCGTTGTACCATAAGAAATGAGATCGCTTGTCCCCATTTGTTTGTCTCCTTGGCTATGCTTCACTTATTTTTGGACATTTTAGCACATTATTCACAAATGGGAAGGCTCAATTTCAAATATGAAGTCACTCTGTATTGTGTCGGTAGCTTTCCATTTGATATGAGAATTGATGTGTTGAAGTGTCAAAAAAATTGATTGAATGAATAACTAAATAACATAATAGATATTATTGCAGAAGCTCGCTCTAAAATTTTCATATTGGTGATTTCTAGGATCAATTTCACGTTACTTTTCTCTATCAAACAACTAATTCAAACGGCCCTAACCCACAACCTATATATTTACATCGATTACTTCTCAATTTCACTCATAAATGACACGATAATGGTGTTGATTTGCAAGTCACAACTACACGAGAATAAACAATGAATAAGGCACAAAGAGGAGACAATCGAAGGAGGAAGTCACCAGTTTTTTCACCCTCCAAAGTAACATTTTTTCTTCTACTATGACAGCTGGTTTTTCTCTCTCAATTAGGCAAGCCAAATATCCTTCACAACAAGCATAAAGCACAATCACGTTTTTCTCTCAAAGGCACACATTAATGCAAAGGAAGGAGGCTATATATAGTCTAATATTAGGTTATCAATTTGGGCCAAATAGCTGTTCAATAGGTATATAAGGCCGTGAGTAACATTAATTTATTAAACTACTTTCAATGGTCCATGTTATTTTCGTGTCGAACTTTCAGACTTGATTATTAGTAATCAATTCACTATTGGTCGAGACCTATGAAAATACATTCCAACGTTTTATATCCCGAAATTTATTGAGTATCAAAACCCAACAAATATTTGTGGAGTTTGGTTAACGAAGTATTGGGCCCAAAACTAATGGTTTATTATTATTGTCAGACCAAGTTCAAATGATCCAACTTGAAGGTTCTAGAATTGAATAAAACGTGTTTTGTGAAACTCGCCTTTGATAAATTTGCTTGCCTTATCTAGATGAATGACACGTGGTTCACTCACTGCCATTGGATTGAGGTTTTGATTGTATCTCACATAAAATCTGTTGGTTTATGACTTTAGGTTTCATTCTAAACCTTGTCGCTTTCTCTTCATATTCGTGAGTGTTTATCTGGTTTTAGTCATCCTCTAGATGATTAACTTGTGATTTCTTAGTGAAATTGTTGTATTTTAAGAGAGAATGAAAGGCAATAAATCTATTATTAGTGATTGCTGTATTTGGAGAGAGATTCATAGAGAGTAGGGTTGAGAACTTTGGCGTTCATTCTGTAATCAAATTTTTACCGTCTTCTAGGTTATATAGTGAATTTGAGTTTAATCTTAACCGATGCTCAATGGGAGATTAAGCATTAGAAGTGGTCGCTGAATCTCTTGGACCATAAGCCCAAAAATCTCTTTTGTTTTGTCTATTTTTCAATGATTTTTTACATATTTTTTTTTTAAATCTTTTGAGTCACAAATGTTGAATCACAAACATGGTACCAACAACAGCTTATCATGACGTTAACCAACTGATGAATAAATTGGTGCATAATTTATATTCTGCAGATAAAATAAACATGCATGTAAATACGAATAGAGTAACGACTCTCTCAAATCAAGATAAAGGCATAAATTCTTACTTATTGAAATGTAAAAATTAGAAGGAGATAAATTGAAGCAAGGTATAGGAATGCAAATCTTCTTAAGTTGATCTTCATCCCTTGTATGGGTGCTAACATGATCAAATGGACTGTTGTCTTCTAAGATACAACACTTCTTCCAAAATTATTATAACACAATATTAGTTTTGCTAGACAAACCAACGCTTGGCCCTACTCTTCAAAAACGGAAGATATCAGATACTTATCT